TTAAAATCATGCAAAAAACGTCAACGATTAAAAAAAATTTTTAGACCATTCTTAAATTTAATAATAGTAAATCAGAAATTTCGACTAAAAGTTATTTTTTTACAGGGATTACCTCTGGATAAACGATTTTTATAATTGTGTGTAGAAATGTTTCAATTCGCTTAAAAAGTTCTCGAGATATGGTGAAATACGCAAAACGTAAAATTAACGTATAGGATTCTAAACTTTGGAGCGCTATCTCCTGACAAAACTATTGGGACCCCAGATTGTGGTTACCCCCTATCTCGGGATCTGATATTCGAATTCGTCGGGAAAAAAAGTATGTTTACTACGAGAAAGTACGATTTTGTGCCTGATTTCGTAACTTAAAATATCGTCTGTACTTATTAATTAGCATATTTGAGGTCACCCCCCTCTCGCAAATGACATTGCTAGTGAATTGCAATCTATCAAATGCTTTTCTTTTGCAGTTTTAACATGGAAGAAAGATAAAATTACTCATAATTTATGTAAATATTGAAGGATTGCTGCCTTTATGAATGTTTTTCTTTCTTTCTTTTTCTTAGGAAAACAATGATATTTTGCGTTACACATAAGGGGAAACCACGAAAATATCTTTCAGATTGCTGTACGCTTAAAGAATTCCAGCTAAATGCTCAGTAATCGCAATGAATTTTTCTTTTAGAATTAATCATTTTTCAGAATCTGGGACCGGCAGCCAATCATCTTTGGGAATATAACGAGATGCTCTTCAATTTTTAGTAATTTTTAACTCAACCCGAAAGTCAAAGTAACTTGCAAATTAAGTAACGGAGTAAAACCTTATTTATGAAAGTTATAAAAATAATTAATTTTAATCAAGATTAAATTGAAAGTAAAATTATCAAATTTTGCGTTACACGCTAAGAGAAACCACGAAAAAGTTTTTCAGATTGCTTTTATTATTAGTAGGATTCCAGCTTAATGCTCATTATCTCCCAGAAATTATTTTTTAATAATCGGTCATTTTTTTATGATTCATCTTGATAGACATATGTCTATCAAGGTGAATCATAAAAAGTCAAAGATATCTAAAGTCAAAGTCGAATCATCAAAGATATCTTTGTGAATATAATGAAACGGTGTTGTTACGAATTTTTGATGTATACGAATTTTTTTAAACTGATATGAATCATATGAAGTAATTTAAATACTTGATCTCTTAATCAAAGGTTCTGAAAAAATCATGAAAAATGTTTTGTTGCATTTTTTAAATTAATTAAAATCTCTTAAATTTTAATTAAGTAAAAAACACATAAATAAGTTACGAAAATAGTTATGAGTCTTATCCTGTCATATTCATGAACGATTATTTGACAACGAAGTGAATTCTTTAATTTCATTAAAATGTCAATAATGCTAATTTATTTTGAATTATTTCCAAAAAAAAAAGTATGTTCGGATTTGACTTTGATTCGGCTGCTTTCAATTATTGTCAATAGATTACGCCACTAAATAGACTAGTTACCCTCTCCCCTTCTTACTTCCACTTTTTTTTCAACATAAGTTCGTAATTGTCAACGGAGGCGACCGGAGAAACGAGAATCGTTGCTGATGAAAGTAAAAGCATTATATTTACGAAATATAAACTGAAAAAACTCACTCGATCCATTGAATTTAAATATAATAATATCAATGATTAAAAATAAATAAATAAATATGGTGGAATAGAGTACGCCATGAACTGAGTCATCAACATCAAAAGTACAAAGATTTTTTCTTTTCGTATAATATTACATTTTGATATTTTTTTTAGATAAATTCAAGTCTTTATAGAGTCTTATAGTTTTCAATGAACTCCTTTATTTAGGTTTCTAAAATTAATAATTAATGTCCTTTCTGTTACTTCTTGGAGCTTGTGGTTTCTAACATTTCTTAAAATGTTTTAAAGTCTGTTAAATTTTTTGCTAAAGAGCTGTTAATTTGTTTTTATTGCTTTGTGTAAGTAATTTATAAATTTTTCATGCTTTTTTTTCAGTTCGGTGAATTTTAAGAAATTAGAACAATAAATAAACTGCAGTATTCATGCATTGAAACGTAACATTTCGAATTTCATTTTTATTTTTCATTAATAAAAGGTTTTATTGAATTGTTAGTTTAAATTACAAATTAAAGCTTTACATCTTTGCTTAGGCTATTCATTTTAAGGGTGCATGAATTCAAATTTTATTTTTAAAATTTCATTTGTAATTTAAATACAGATTTTATTACTAATTTGACTTATTATTTGATAATAAGCGAAATTATGTAAAAGATTTAGAAAATTTTAAAATTAACTATGCAAAACTAAACATTTTGAAAATTTTAATTTTTAAAATACTTTGATTAAATTTAAATATTACATTAAAGTTGTGGAGCTCTATATTGTAATTTACAGAGACTTTATTTACTTATTTATTTATTTTTTTTCTCCAGAAAAATAAGAAAAGAGCAAGATCTGGATAGTTTTTAAGAAAAAAAATGAAAAGAGCAAGAGCTGGAAATAAGTATTTAATATATCTTATTTTTCTAGAACTTAATTTTCCATTTAGGGTGACCTGGGGTAATTCCTGATCAAAAAATGCAAACATCTATTTTGTGAAAAAATTATTCAAGATAGAATTTTAATATTGACTGGAAGTGTGAGGGTTTATGAGATGAGTACTATGCTACCTTCTTTTGTTTGAAAATCTAATTAGAATTTAAAAGATTTTACATTTTTACTGATCAGGAATTACTCTTTCTCTTGATCATTTCTGGGGTAATTACTGATCACCAATTTTTATAGTAAAGGTGTTGTTTAAAAATAATTATTCAATGGTAATTAACAAATAAGACATCAAGATCAAACAAATAAACCAAAAAGATATGTTTAAGCAGCTAATAAAACGATTTATTTAAAAGCAACAATAAGGATTAACACTTTAAATTTTCCAAAAATCTTTGCATCGTGCCATACATTTTAGGCACGCAGCCAACTCATTCTCATGTTCTGCTGGAATATAAGAAAGAGTTCTCACATGGGTTACTTTTACTGGATTTTTTTAACTTCATTAAACGAGAGTGTAAAGTTAAGTAAGGTATGTCAACAGCTCTGACAGCAGCTCTCACACTGAAATTTTCATTTTCAATCATTAAAAGAAATTCACTGATTTTGCTTTCTAGAAGCTTAATATCTTTTTTAGGCTTATAATTTCTCAACATTTTTATATTAAATTAATTTATAAACTTAAAAATTATTCTAACAATGTACACACATAAATTTAAGGTAGAAGCCAAGTAAGACAAACTAGAAATGGTGCAACACTTTTGTTTTGTATAGAGTTAAAAACAAATTTTGTGATTACAGTTAAAATATATTTTATAATTGTTCCACTTAATAGATATGAACTGTTATTTAAGAAAAGACAATTAGCTATTTATTAGCTATTATTTATACTATTTATAAGAAGAAAGGACAATGATCAGAAATTATCCCAGTGATCAATAATTACCCCATCTGTAGGGGGCAACATTTGATATAGTTTCCTATAATCAATTATAATTTTTACAGCAGATGTGAAACAATTAAACATAAGCTTACACTATTTTCAAATCAAAGAAAAAGAAAGTTACTCAAAATTTTAATTAAGAGAAGGAGGGGGATCTTTGCATAAATGTGCACATTTTGAAACCCATCTTTGAAACTGAAAATACAAAAAGCAGTTTAAAAGATACTTATTTTGTTAGATTAAACAGAAAACTATTGTTAAGTAAATGTAGTTATACTTTAGTAAAGTGTACAAACGGTCTTCTCCATGTCTCAAATTTTAAAAAAAAATAATGTTTGTTTAAATAAAACTTAGGTGATCTTTATTTACCCCAGAAACAGAGTGATCGTGAATTACCCCGGGTCACCCTATTTATTACTAATCAATAGTTTTACAAATTGTCTTAATAAATTTTACAAATGTTATTTTAATAAAATTATTACCTTCTTGTACGTTTTAGTATGTATTAATTGATTTTTGCTTTACTTCAAAACAATGAAACTCTAAATTTAAAATTTTATTTTGTAATGGATTCACAAAAAAAAAAAAAAAATATTGATACCACATATAATGATAAATTGTGAAAGCATGCAAAGAATGTTGCAAGTTTATAGTTGTAAACATTAAAAGTGAAAGAATTAAGTAAATTTTGCATATGAATAAATAGAAAATTGAAACAAATCATCCTTATTATTGTGATATATTTGAAATATTTTAAACAAGGTAATTTAGAAATTTTTACAATTACTAAAATATCGAGACAACATATTAATAATTGTAAATTTAAATTTGTTGTCATATTTTTCCTTTATGATTAATATTAATTAGATTTGAATGTAAAATGTTTATTATATTTTGTTTTCATAATTTTGTAATAATTTAATTTAAGGTAACACTAATTAACTAATTTAAAAATAGAGGATTATGAATAATAATAATTTAAAATATGAAGCTTAGCAATGAGCATAGTGAACATAATTAAAATTTATTTAAAGAAAAATTATTCTTTCAAGCAAATATTGATATTTATATGCTGTAATTACATTGATCTATATTTTATACTCTGTTATGTATGTAACTAATAAGTATATCTTACTTAGCATGACACAAATTACTTGAGCTACTAAGCATATGAAAATTTGTTTATAAAATTCAAAGTTATTCCATAGAAATTCCTTCTTCTATCTTTTAAAGGCTCAGCTGATAAAAATATTTACTTGCATTGGAATGTCTTATCTGTATTACTGATAGGAATAGTTATTTACAAATAAAATTGAAAAGACCACAAATAAATTGGGTTGAAATAAGAAAAACATTATTAAGTTATTGAATTTTTTCCAGGATAATTAGAAAAGGTAGGATAGTGTTTTCTATAAGTTAAATTAAATTAAAACTAAATTCATAGCTTTATTTTAGGACTAAAGAAGTATTAATTTATTCTGGAAAAATCAAATATTGTATGTGATAATCAGAACTAGGATGTTGATGATTTAAAAAATTCTTGATGCCAAAAAAGCCTTTAAAAACCTTTAAAATGCAAAAAAATTGTGTTTATCATTAATATCCTAACCCTGGTGATATCTAATAATTTCACAGCATTTTTTAAGTTGCAATTTTGGCAATTCCATGAAGCAAAGGACAGCGTAACAAATAAATAAATAAAATAAAATACTAAACATTGTGTATGATCCCAAAGAAAAACATTATAAAGTTATTGAATTTTTTCCAGGATAATTAGAAAAGATAGAATAGTGTTTTCTATAAGTTAAATTAACCAAAACCAATTAAGACCAAATTTATAGCTTTATTTTAGGACTAAAGAAGGATTAATTTATTCTGGAAATATCAAATACTGTATGTGATAATCAGAACTAGGATGTTGATGATTTAAAAAATTCTTGATGCCAAAAAAGCCTTTAAAAACCTTTAAAATGCAAAAAAATCGTATTTATCTTTAATATCCTAACCCTGGTGATATCTAATAATTTCGCAGCATTTTTTAAGTTAGAATTTCGGCAATTCCATGAAGCAAAGGACAGCATAACAAGTAAATAAATAAAATAAAATACTAAACATTAATAGCACCTCTCCATTAGCAAATTTCTTAGTTTTTTTATTAATTATTTTTGTTATCAAAAATTGTAACTTTAAGTGTTTTGTAATAATAATTAAAAAATTTTTATTAAAATTTTAATGTCATTTGTATTTGTACTATCAGTCACAGGAGCTTTTTCTCCATTTGCCATAATCTATATGTTATTTTATGTGTACTTTCAATGTTCCCTGTTAATTTGAAGTTTTTTTTTAATTAACTAAAAAAATAATACTATAAAAATACAAAACATGCAGTGAAATTCTTTCTTCTTCGCTACTTCTGTGTACATATCTTTGATATTCTATCTTATTTATAATTGTTTATTTTCAGTTTTGAAGAGGAAGAGCAAGAAGGTGTAAAATTTACTAGAATGGATGAAAACTCCTCAAAGGACAAAGAGCGATATGCTAGGTAAAATATTTTACTAATGATTATCCAGGGTGCTTAGCGTTTGTAAAAAGTACTTAAAGGTGCTTTTTTGGAGATTTCGTTTTTAAAAGCTTTTAAAGGTGCTTTTTTCAGCTGGTGTTTTTAAAAAGTGCTTTTTTCCACAAATAATTTTTTTTCCAGTGATATCTGGTGGATCCCATGCATTTCACGTAAAATGGGGGTGTTTGCTACGTAATCATTCACGCGGACTTCATGTCGTACGCACACGTTATGACTTGCGCATGCGCGCACACTTAAAACCGAAACCCGAGTGCTCCAATTCGGATAGAGAATATCAGATCCTTATGAAATGTTTTTCTTTTTAATTTAATTTAATTTTATTCTTGTTTATTTTATTTTACTTCTAACACTTTTTTTGACGTAGGGGGTAAGGGTACTTTTGTTCTGAGTTCAGGGTCAAGTTGAATTCACTCGGTGATGTGGGAAAGTACTGATTGTTTCGATTTACGCCCGTTTCTTTTTCTTTTTTTTTTTTAACGCTAAAACTGTTTATAAAAAGTTTTTGTTTTTCAATAATATCATTGATTGAATATGAATTTTTTGAGTGCTTGAAAACTTTTGTAAAGTGCTTGAAAAGTTTTTAAAAAGTGCTTATTTTTGATTCAGAGATTTGGCTACGCACCCTGTATACTAGTATTTTAAAATCTTTATGTGAATATTATCAAGGTAAGAAATCTGTGAACTTGAATTTTCAATTCTAAAGTGAAAGGGGATTTAATTTTTAATATATTAAGGACCATACAAATTCTTGAATGCATTTTTCAAATGCATACCTAATTCATTACAGTAATCTGCACTTTTTATCATAAATTCAATAATTTAATTACGCAATTTATATTAACTTTTTTTGTGATATGTTTAAAAAAAATGTTTTCTTCACTAACAAGAATTGTTGTGGTATGTTTTTTTTCTAGGATTTTTTGTTTCAATGGATATGAAAAGTTACTGTTATATTTCAACATTTTATTTTATGATAGTAGCTATTTGCTTTTAATAACTCTCTTTGTTTAATGTTTGTGCTCTTAAAAATGTACCTATTACGAATTTATGACTTTATGTCAATTCTTACTGATTTAATCAATCAGGAATGACAAAAACCCATTAAAAAAGAACCTGAATAATTTTCAAGAAAATCTCTGGTAAAACTTTTATTCAACTCTGTAACTTCTCTATTGTTACTTATTATTTATTTTAAAACGGTCATTGAACAGCCAACTCAAATTTTGGGTTTACTACTACTAATGCTAACCTAATCCAGAAGACAAGGTAACTCCTGGATCAAGTATTGAGTGAAATTTGCCTTTGTGGAGGACTTTTTGATGGTACTAATCCGCATTTGCGTTACATAGGGAGGAAAATCACGAAAATCTCCTACGGTTAACCTGACAGCAAGGTAGACGGATCTAACCCATGATCCGTCTGCCACTGAGGATATTTTTTCTTGTCAGCACTTTGATTACTATTATTTTATTTTATTTTATAACCGTCGTTGAACAGCCGGCCCAATTTTAGGTTTACGACTACTTGTTATGGGAACATGGAGGACTTTGAGACTCGACAGATTTAATGCGCATCAGTCGCGAGTCTACACGGGGAGTCTTCGGCCAGCGAGGATCGAACCCCCGACCTCTTGGACATGGGCCCAGTGCCCTACCAACCAGGCTATCTCGAACTAATTACTATTATTTGTAAAAAATTGTGTTGCTTCTATAATTATTAATGTGCATTTGTTCTTTTTCTAGAGAAACGCACAGTGAAATAGAACGACGAAGGCGCTGTAAAATGGCAAGTTTTATACAAGAATTGGCAGAACTAGTTCCCACTTGTAGTGCTTTGGCTAGAAAACCAGATAAACTGACAACATTAAGAATGAGTGTAAATCATCTAAAGTCTCTTAGAGGTTTAAAAAATTTTATTTATATTTTTTCAATATTTTGTCAGTATTCTGTTTGATGCAATATTTTTGTTATTTATTTTTTTATTATATTGTTTGTATAGTTATGATTGTTTGAAATTTGTCAGAGTTGTGTAATATCTTTGATTCTTTGTATTTTATTCAGTTTTCTTATACTAAAGTCTGTATGTATGACTTATCCATGCATGAAATTAAATTCATCGTAATACTGGCTTTCTAAAAAATTAATTTTTTTGACCATATGGCCAAAATTAAAAAATTTGTTCTGCAGTACATGATTTAGGTTTCTCTTTCTCATAATTGTTGCGTATTGTAAGTATTATTTGATAATTTTTGCGACCCATATTGATCATGTGGGCAACTGAATTTTTTTTATCCGTTATAAATTGTTTAAAATTAAAATTTGGAGTTATATTCAGGCTCATACTCTTATTTCATGTAATAGAAAATATATTTTTTGATAAAAAATATGCATTTTTTAAAAATTTAAAAAATTGTATTGCTTTAATGGCATATATTATAGATATTGGCATTGCACTAAAGTTAATATTGAAATCTTAATTCTAAATGTTTTATTTATGAGAAAAAATGTTGATCATAGTTTTGAGCATTAACTTTAAATGTTTTAATTTAAAATGAGGTAATTTTTGCTTTTGCTCATTAAATTTTAAGGATAAATATGTTTTTCAATGATATCTTTTCAAAAAATAAAAACTGAAAATTTTTTTGCAATTGAAACTGATATCTTCTAATGTTAATCTAGGTGAAATTGGTATATGCGGAAAATGTTTCACACAAGCTTGTATAGTGTATATATATATATAGTATATATATATGAGCATAACTAAATAAATTAACAAACATTTATTAACATATAGGACATAATACATTGCATTTAACATATCAGAGGAGGCCATCTGCCTTATCAGCTATCAATCACATTCGCTGCGTAGGAAGAATCAGAATGCCTATCTAACCACTGTTTAGTTAAAGGGTTAGGAGGTGCGCAATGATGAGTATGCGCATAAAGTGGGAACTAGGCTTCCTACAATATATATATATTGCTGTAATTTTGTTTGAAATCTCAAATTTTTTTTTTTGAAGCAGCTTCTGATCTATTTAATAAGTTTTTGTTATTTAGAGAATTTATGATTTTTTATAATGTATAAAGTAGTAACTACTTTAGTGTTCTTCATCATTTTCTAATTAGCTGCTATTAGAAATTTTCATTTCTTATTTAAGGACAAGAAGGAAATCATTTTTCTCAAAGTCATTCTATAAATTACAAAAATAGAAAAGTATAAGCTATGTCTAGAAAATTAGAAAATGTTTTAGCATTTTTCAGACTTGAATATATTAGTTAACACTGTTTTACCATGAATCACGCTTTATTGGCTCAATCCATCCATGTTGCTCCTGCTTATTTCTGATTAGATGGTTAATTTATTGATAGATAAATTATTGGTAAACTATATTATTCTAGTCAATATTAAGTTAAATTATTCATAAATAAATGGAAATTCTGGTTGTTAAAAACAGTAATTTATTAATGTAATGTAATGAAATTTATCAGTTTATTTCTTTTAGGGACAGGCAATATAAGCTCAGATGGTAATTATAAGCCAGCTTTTTTGACTGACCAGGAGCTGAAACATTTGGTGTTAGAGGTATGTAGCTCTTGTTATTTTATGTTTGAATTATTGTAAAATTATTGTAACCTTATCCTAAAATTTATAATTTGTTTTAAAGAAAAATGTTAATGTTTTTTTTACTTAAGCACTTTCGAGAATTGTTACGAGAATTGTAATATTGTTTTTACTTGAGCACTTAAGAACTGTCTTATTTGCAGTTTTTATAAGAAAATAGATCTTTTCTGTTGATTCAGTGAATCTTTTTAATCTTAATTCGGAAGAAAAGACTGACAGTTTTTTAAAAATTTAAGTTATCTTAATACCTTAACATTTTCAAAGATTGTTAATGGTAAACTCTATCATTTTTCTATTTTTTAAGAAAATGTAAAAGTATTTTTCATAAGCTGCATTATTTTTTTTGGACATAAATAAAGATATAATTAAAATTTTTTTTTTAAATTCATGGAATGATTCTTATAGTATTAGTGATTTTAGTTATTCACGTTTTAGGTAGTTGTCTAATTATACTTGGCATTGTAATTTTTAGTACTCTGATTATCTATACATAAAATTATAAACTTCTAGTAAATGGTCTATTTTTATAGCTTGAATTTTAAACTTTTTGAATACTTTTCTCAAAACCTGAAAAAGGAATTTTTATTATTAATACTAAGTCCAGTTCATTCTGTGAAAGGCATTACTTTTACTTTATCTCTGTTTGCTGTGATACTATATAATTTTTTTTTATTCTTATTATTTTGCAAATTTTATCTATTTATTGTCTTATAATATTTTATCAATGAGCTGAAAAGACCATATTTGATAGTTTTTATTTAATAAATTATTTAATTTAAATTGTGGTAATTTAGGACCCCTTTCTGACTTAGTACTACTTTTACAGTAAAGGAAAATGTAATACACAGCCAACTGTTGTTACTTGTGCTTGTAAGAGCTTTTGTAAAGAAATAGTCCTATGCCCCTAATTTTGTTACTTATTCAATTAAGGTGGTGCATATCAAGTCTTGCTGAATTCTTACTAATAAGTTTTGATATAATTTTGAAAATATTTCTCATTTCCATGTAAAAAGTAGACATTAGGGATTATTGCAAGTATGTTTTAGAATCTGAAGTATTTTTTAAATGATAAACAATGCTGTAGAACACAAAAGGGACATCTAATACATATGTATGTGTAACTAATTTTTTATATTTTGTGAACCTGATATGCAGTCTCCTCAATCTATATATTGTAAGCCTGAACTATGTGCTGGTTGTTCACATTGATACTAGGATGCTTATCAATGTTAATAGCAGATATATAAAATATTATAGTTTCATCTATTATAAACTATGTAATTAGTGGATATATAAGTTACTTAATAATAATATTTTGCTTAAAAATAGAAAAAAAAATAAAAAGAATGCAGTCACAACTTTTTACTGAATTATTTTTCCATTTTGTTTAATTTATTAAGCGTAATCTATACTAAAGAAAAAATTGCTATGAATTCCTGTGTATATCAAACTCAATTTAGTATAAAAGTTTTTTTGTTTAGCTTTTTTATATAATTCAAATAAATGAATGAGAATTTTATCGCAAACTATTTTATAACTTAAAAAGTTACTGTTAAGATAAAAATCTAATTTGGTTATTGTCTTTGTAACTGTGAATAAAATTTTATGTCATTTTTGCATTGTTGACTGTTATTGTTTTATAATAATGTATGAGTTTTTTTTTAAGGCTGCAAATGCATTTCTTTATGTATTAACTTGTGATGGACGAATAATCTATGCTTCTGATTCTATTTCACACGTTCTTAACTATTCGCAAGTAAGTTATGCTTTTAATTATTGTTTTTACAAATTATCTTTAAAACTACTGTGTGTGTAAAAGTTTCAAATAGGCTATAATGAAAGATTTAATACTAATGATTCAATGACCCTTGAAGCTTAGCGACTTAATTAATTCATAAAATAATGAAAAACAGTAAATAACAAAGCCTTCAAATCATGCACAGTTATTGCAAAAAGAATTTTCCAATTATGGTATACAAGAATAATTGTCACATGAATAATTAAAATATTCACCCTATTTTATAGGTGAAAAATTGTATTTGATGTACTTAAGAATAATGATTGAATTGTGAATAAAAACTTTTAACTTCTAAATTTTGCTATTTTTTTTTTATTTCTTATGAATTTTTGTAAAAGTTTAGGTTTTGTATTTAAACTTTATGAAAATTTCGTTCTAAGGAATTAAGTAATTCCTTTTTTTTTATCTTTTGATTAATTATTATGTATGATAAATGGTGTAAATTGAAAAGCTTTTCTTTTTAAGTATTTCTTTTGGGTTGATAAATAATACCTGTTTCTTTTAGATCAGCATTATGTTAAATGTCAGGGTAATCCTAAATGTTTACTATTTAGGTAATTAGAATCAAGATTTAGTTTTAAAAAAAAGTTAATGTCGGATATAATATCCAGCATTTAATTTTTTCAATAAATATATCCGAGTATCTGTTTGCCAATTTTTAATGAAAATATCATATATATATGGAAAAAATTACAGAACAATGGAAAAAGGGAAAAATAAAAAATAAGGCAAAAAATTCCGAAAAAAAAGAAAAACATTAATAAAATCCGGAAAATAAAAAAAATAATCTTTTCATCAGCTCACACAATTATATCTGCAAAAAGGAGTGCTTTCTAATATTGTATCAATATAGCCAGAGCAAAATGTATCAATAAAATAGCGTGAGGAGCACTAAAAAAAAAATAAAAAATTGCAACAAATAAATTGGACACATTAAGTAAAAATATCACAGAGTAAATAAAACTTATTGTTTTTCTCTTTAACTGTATAGTTATTACAAAGTCCTAACAATACAGTTACTATTCTAATCCATTAGAACAGTTATATTTATTATAAACTTAAAATATCTGTATTTTGAATTTTTTTTGTCCTCCTTCATGGCAAAGAAGCTTTGGTTATCACATATGTTTCATATTTCAAGATATTGGCTAATAATTCTTGTTGTAAGTGAAAATGCTTTGCTTTTTTCTTTTTCTTTTCCCTTCAAGAAAAAAAACTTGTTTATTAGTTGCTTTCTGTTAGCCGACATTCTTTCTATTCTATTTCAGCGTCCTTTTGTCTGTTAGACGAAATTTCTGTCTTGAGTCAAAATCAGAAGGGTGGTGGGATGGACAAAGCATGGGAAGGGTGGCTAAAAGAACTATGGGAGCTGAAATTGTAAAATTTGTGAGAGGAATTTATTCCAACAAGTTCAACCTTTCTGTAATTTTGGGATTGTCCAATCATTTAAAAAGTGTTACCTTAAACTACTGGTTAGGAAATCACTTCTTTTTTTATTTTATTCGGATGACCAGCAAGATGCTTTTAAATCGAAAATAAATGTTCTGGAAACACTGAATATGATTTCTACAATGTTGGACAGTGTCGGCTAAAATGTATTACAAATGGGTTTATAAAGTTTCTTGGGGTTATTGCTACTCATTATCTAATGGGATCTCGTTATCCGATGTTGGCTGTTTGAAACAAAATTGCACATCTAAAGATCTTCTGAACTCGATGACGTTACCGACTGAAACACACATTCCATTACTTTTAAATTTCTTCAATATCAGATGTAATGCCTGCTCCTGATGATGGTATTGAAAACAATGAAGATGAACAAAAAATAACGGAGGATATACATATAAATGATCAAGAGTTTGAAAAGATAAAAACTCAGAAACATTTGCTATTGTTAACCATTAAACAAATTTGCAAGCAAAACTGAGTTTTGAGAGGGATATTGTTGAAATTGTATCGAAAAGCAAAAAACAACTAAACATTAAACATTTTTTCCAGTTGTTCGTCTCTTAAGTGACAATTTTTTGAAAAAATATACTTATATTTTTTGTACCCCAATTTTATGTTTTCCCTCTTCCTGTGTTTTTTAATGCTATTTCTACGGAAAATGGAAAATCAGGGTTCCACTGTATTATTTAAAATTTTACTTAATGAGTTCTATTTCAAATATTGACATTTCTTTAAACATTACAAATTTGTAGATAAAGCAATTACATGCTTTACTTGTTTTTTCTTTTTCCTGTGCATTTAACTGCTTGTCATTTTTAACAATGGCCTTTTTATTTCCCCCAGTCTGATTGGATGAATTCTAATTTCTTTGGATTCATGCATCCTGATGACATTGATAAAGTTCGAGAACAGCTTTCAGTTTATAGCCCTTCTACACCAGGAAGAATACTAGACTTAAAAAGTATGTTTTTCTTAAAGTATAAAACAATAACTTTTTTTATTTACATACGAAAAGTTTTTGTTGGCATGTAAATAGTTTTTCCCATGTGAATTTGTTTTTGAAAACGTAGTTTGATACTCAATAATTATATCAACTATTTATTTCATTTTTTAAATACATATTTGCCCACACTGTAAACTGCCATGCAATTGAAAAAAACAATGCAAGTTCTTCGTGATCCCTATTATGATTTATCCAGAATTATTATGATTTCATAGTCAAGATCATAGTCTCACCGTTGAGTAATAAAAATTATGGTTTTTGAGAATTTTCATAATAATCTGTAAAAAATAAGTCCCCCCCTTATCTACCAAAAACTGTGAAATTTCAATTTTTGCTATAAATCGTGGGGAAAAAAGTAACATTTAAGTGTTTAATGGTAAATTTATGTGTAATATTATTAATATTAGTTATATAGCTATATAGAATTAAGTTGTAAACGCAACTTGAAATTGTACTAGTTTGAATTTTTTTAAGGTTATATGTATTATTGTACTTCTGATTACGGATTATTAATAATTTGAAAAGTTTCCATCTTTGGAAGAAGGATGCGACTTGAAAATTATTCTTTTTCCTTGCTAATACTATCACTGTTTAGATAGAATTTCAGAAAACTAATAAAATAAAGGATTTTTTTTCTTCAGTATGTTGCTTATCGTACAAAAATGCCAAATTGATAAGAATCTCAGTTTTGAATGTTCTGTCATTTATGTTGGTTTTCCTATTGCACATCAGTAAAACTATTGTACATCTTTCTGTATGAAACACTATATAGGATGGAGGTTTAAAAAATTTATACTTATTTTATAAATTATTTTGAAAAATACCAATTAGCATATGCTTTTGCGAATTAACTGGCAAATGTAACTTTGTCATTTTAAAATTCGTATGTATTGTTGCAAACAGTTAATTAGTTTTTATTTAAAATATTATTTTCTAGCATGATTTATTAGTATATGCTTTATGCTATTTTTTTAATGTGACTTTATTATTTAGAAATTCTTTGGCATTGTTGTGAGTAATTATTTTAATATTTTTAAATACCGTTTTACTGTGTATTTAGACTTTTAATTTTATAACACTAAATTATATTTATGAAAATTAGCTTTATGTTTCTTTACATTGCTCCGCACATTTTCATATTTTTTTATTGAACATGATAATAAATTGTACTCTTTCTGCACTTCCAGAAATCAATGTTAACCTCTTGATATTTTCATTTAATGAAGTACAGTCGAACCTCGCTAACTCGAACCTCGATTTCACGAATTTTTCGTTATCTTGAAGAAAAAAAAAATTCCCTTCAAATTTCCTATACACTCAATGTTAAAAAACACTTGATTTCACGAATTTTTTCCCATAAATAGTGTAGATGTTTTTTCTAAAATTAACAAAAATATTCCAAAAAAGAAAAAATTTTAAAAATGGCTGACAAGGCATGGAATGATGTGTCTTCCTCTACGATAATGAATGGCTTCAAGAAGTCTAGATTCATTAAAGATCACGAAAGTAGTCAAACAATCAATATCGTTAATTCTGCTGAAAACTACACCGAAAATGATTGGAACAGATTGACCGGACTCTTGAAGCTTGATGACATGGAATTTCATGTCTTTGTAAACGTAGATGATGCAGTAACAGTGTGTAGTCAGTGGGATGACAATGATATCATCGCTCAAACAAAAGCTTCTTGTGAACTATCAGAAGAAGAGGATGAGGAAATCGAAGACTTACCGCCCATTGTTACTAACAAACAAACACTTTCTGCAGTGGACACTGTAAGGTGATTTATTGAGAGGCAGCCGAATACGTCAGAGGAGACATTTAAAGCTATAGTCTACTTAGAAAGTGTTATAGACAAACTTTCTTACACATCTCTAAGGCAAACAACAATTGAATCTTTTTTTAAATGAAGGTGTAAAAAGTATTTTTAGAATAAATATGGAATAGTAAATAAGGTATGTAAAGTGCATTTTTCTTTATGCTACCATCGATAACATTCGATTTTAGATTATTCGAATTTTCGATATCTCGAATTTTTTCTCCTCTCCCTTCAAGTTCGAGATATCGAGGTTTGACTGTATTTATTTAACTAATCTTTATAACTTATTGTTCTGAAATAATGATTGAATATTAATATTTCTTGAACTTCTGCTATTTAAAATCATTAAAAATTTAAATGCAGCTCTTAGTCTAAATTATTTATGAAATACAGTGGAAAGTCGCGTATCCAGAATCGGCGGGACTTCCAGAAGTCCGTATATTTGATTTTTCCGTATAATTGATCTCCAAGGTAAACAAAGCTTAAAATGATCTGAATCTGAGAAGCAGAAAATAAATAAGCATTATTTTTCGGGCAATAATGTTTTGGTATTAAAATGATATCTAATCAATCATAAACAAAATATTAGAAAAAAAATAATTATTGCTATTCTAAAAATAAATATAGAAAACGAAAAAAATTCCCAGTTATGAAAATATTAATTGCTCTCTCCACCATTTTGAACTAGAACGATTCAAGCAAGAAGGGGAAATTCCCGTCATTCAATAAGGTGGGTAGGTGGAGAAGAAAAATTCATTTCCTCCTTACTTGTCATTCAAGTTGAGGGCGGGGTAGTGACAAATTCTTATTTTCTCTCCCATCATTGGCTATCAATCAAGCATAAAGGCGTGGCATGCTGATTGGGTTCTCTTTATTTTTTCTTGTGTGACTAAAGGGGATTCCCCCTCCACTTTAACATTTGCTGTGTTTACCCTTTTTCACAGTATTTCTTCTTTCCCTGACACTCAAATAAAAAGGTTCCAGGAAATGCCTCTTTTACTAGCCAGCTGCATAGGAAAGAAGGGGGAGGGAGGGGACTTAGTTGTGCTCTTTTGAAAACAAATCTCCCCCCCCTCTTTCCTGCATTCCAGAGGAGGAGCATTATGGTCTTAGTAGATCTTCTGTTGTCTTTTCTGTTGATTTATGGGTTCAATGCATAGATCTCTAGAAGCTGAGAAGGGGAAAAACCTGTCATAAGACTTCGTTTTTTTTTTTTTTTAAAGAAGAGGGGAAGATGAAGAAATGTTTGTTTATTTTGATTGTTAAAAAGTGTCCGGGAAATCGACCCTTCCGGAAAAGGGACGTCCGTATATGGGACGTTACACTGTACCAGAATTTCTGACTATTTATATAATTGAGTGGTTTAGCAGTTTGGAAATAATTCACTAAATCATTAAGAGAGAACAATATAAATTGAAATGCTTTTCAATCCCCCTTTTTTTTATAGTAAGGGTAAATTTTTATTTGTACGGAGGGATTCAACTTTTCTCTACTGTAAAAGATCAGAGGAAAGTTAAAAGGATATAAAACTTCTTTATAAAAATAATGGAAAAAAAATCTCTTATTACTTTATTGTCTATACTAGTAATAAATGCACTATAATGCATGATTTCCAGGATTAGAACAGTTCAATGTAAAAAGTTATTTGAGGAGAATTGACTTCCTTTTATCCTTTCATGCAAGCAGTTAGAAATTAAATGTATGTGTGTTTACTTAATAATTACTTTGAACAACAGGATAATAATGGGTAAAAAAAAAAGAATTTCCCTGTTAGCCTTATTTCTCTTATATCTGCTTAGGTATTACATGCTTTATTGCAACTTTTAAATCTGGATCCAATTGTAAAAACAGTTTTTATTGTTGTTGATATCCTTGAGAAAATGATATCCTAAATAAATCAGATAATCCAAAGCTTAAATTAGTTACAAATGTAAAATTATTATTATTGTTTTAAAACTCTTCCGACCTTTTGGCATATAAGGCATCCTACTTCCTTTTACAAGCTCACAGGTCTTAGGATTTGACTTCCTCTAATCCATTTTATCATGCCGTCTAAAATCTGCTTGCATTTTATCTTCCTCTCTTTTTTCTGCCCACATGCCTCAGGAAATCATAGCATGCATCAATTTATTTCTGGGCATGCTGAACTTATGCCTTTTCTTTGTCTCCTTTTGTAAATTTTTTTTTCTTCTTTTTTGTAGTGAGGTTTCATTTTTCTAATTTAATTTAATTTTTAAACTGTCAAAAAGATTTTTATTATTTTTTTATTTTGGAAAACTCTTAGTTTTTAGATGTTCAAATTTTTTTTTAAGGAACCATGTTTCAGTATCAGACATTAAATTTTCTTAAACTAACGTTTTACAAATATTTATTGTTGTTTTGTTTTGGATGCTTATTGACTGTCAGAATTTTTAAGACTTCTAAAAGATGCTCTTGCTCGCAAAATTCTGTTCTTAATATCTGTCTTGATTACTCCAAGTTAATAATTTGTTATGAGTTCATTATATTTTTCAGAATTTGCTATGCACAAATAAAAATTATAAAAGTTGTAAGTGTTAAATCAAAATGGTATAACAGTTAATTTTTTGCTCCAAGTAGTTTTCAATTATATTTAAATTTTTAATATCCTTATATATTTAGTTAATTTTGGTATTATCAGAGTTCATTACTCCGAGTAGAATTCCTAAATTCTTTCATGAAGATAACTATTTTCATGAGCTTTGGGCTTTAATTTGTAAATACTGAAAATAGTTCAGTATCATTTTGTGAAATTTTTTATTCTCGTAAAATTCTCAAATTACATGTATTATTTTTATGTATAGTTTAAGCATTTTACACGAATTAAAATAAATACAATAACTTTCATTTATGTAAGTGTATGGTAATTTTATGTATTATAATAATTTTATTTATGTATAACAATTGTTTTATTTAAATTCTTTTAGCTGGAACTGTAAAGAAAGACAGCAACCATTGTAAGTTGATTTTATTATTTTCTTGTGTCCATAATTTAAATCTTTCAGTGTCTTTTTATATTTATGAGCTAATGGATTTTTAAGTGCCTCATAGAGCTTTTTTTTTGACATTTTTGATAATTATGTTAAAAAAAATCAACTATAAAATTGAGCATAAAAATAGTTTAAAATTTTTTTATTTTTTGGCTTTTGATATCTTTTTAATGATTGTTCAAAAATGGTCTTATTTTCATATATCGCTAACATTTATTGCTGCACATTTTTTGTGTGCAAAAAATGCATATATTTTAAAGTATAAAATTAGTTTTGCTCTTTTGTTTTCGAAAGAACTACATAAATATAATATTTTGCCTATTACTTTAAGAATTTAAATTCATTTTAAAAAATGCTTGTGAAAGCTTTAAATTAGCATTAGTTCTTTACATAAAGATTGAAATCAAAATTTTTTTATCAAGTTTTAAAAAGTTCCTAATGTTTTTATTTCGTATGCTTTCAGCTTCAACTCGTCTTACTGTGGATACAAGGAGAAATTTTATTTGTCGCATAAGAGTGGGTAATTTCCAATCAGGTACTGCTTATTCAAGTCACCTCAATCGACTTAAAGAACGTAATAGCTTAGGACCCTCTCGCGATGGTAACTCTTATGCAGTTTTGCATTCAACTGGATATATTAAGACCTGGCCTCCTACAGGTAAGAATTATATTGATGTACATTCTAATATATGTATGTGGTAGTTAAGGTTTTATTGATAAATAATTATAATAGGACATTGTGCCAATATGAATACTTAAACTTAAGAAGAGGTTAGATTTAAGCAATGTTTTGATTATTTTCTAGAAAGACAGAAATTGGCACTAATTATCATTGTATAGAAATGCATACCATTAAACACAAAAACCAAGATTATTTTAAGTTTTTTTATCATCTGTAAAGGTCAATAACCCTTATAAGGCCTCAGTATCTTAAGGATATTGGACTGGCTGACTGTTCAAAATACACATATGTAATGTTTTGGAATCTGAATTTTGTATTTAATTGTTCAGAATAATAACAAATTTCTTATAACTAACTCACATTGTTTCATAGTTATTTTATTGTGATTTTAATTCATCTTGTAAATGTTTTTGCCTTTCAATAATGAACTATTTCATCTTTTTGAATTTTATATTCTCATTAGCTAGGATTTTTTAGTTGTTGAAAATTCCCTTTTGATAAAGATAACTAGACTGCTTTTTAACTTACTACCAGGATTTACTTTAACTATAAATTTTCTGATAAAAAAAATAATAATCTGATAAATAATAATAATAAAAAAATAGTAATCTGATAAAAATAGGGGAAAAAATATGTACAACTAAAAAGTTGAAAAAAAAGGATTAAATAAAAACTTGAAATTATTCTTGTGCAATGTGTTTCTATGTAACATTAGAAATATTCTAAGTTTTGAATTGCAGTATGCAGTATCTAATAGCACCTTCTAATAAGCTTAAGTTTCTAATTTACGCTTTATTTATTCATTTTCTGTTTTCATTTCCAGATTTTAGAGTAAAAAAATTTTTTTTTTTCTGTTTACAGTAAAAGTATTTATTTTCAAAATAATATATTTTATTTTTATTGCTCTTAATAATTAATCTTAATTTTTAATCTAAGCATCAGTTATCTTTTTCCTTGTCTCTCTCAGTTTCTTAACCACTTTTCATGCAATGTAACAAAATACAACACAGTTAGTACAAAAGAGAACAAAAAATAATAGTAGGAAAAAAAAAAGCTTCAACATTATTAAAAATTTACCACTTATGCAATGTAATTTTTTTAAAAGAAAAACCTAACTCTGGAATACAAATCCTTTAAGCATTAAAATATTAATTGTTATGTTTGAATGAAATGTGTTTTCTTTTCAAGTTTTGCTTTAAGTGTACCATTTAGGATGAATATCTTTTTCAAATTTATCCAGGGTCACAAATGGATCACTTAAATAGTGACGATATGAGCAATAATCATTATTGTCTTGTTGCCATTGGCAGACTTCAAATAACAAGCATTCCTAACAAAAGTGATTTAATGGGATCTAACTCATCAAGTGAATTCATTTCTCGTCACAATTCTGAAGGACATTTTACTTTTGTTGATCAAAGGTAGGAATTGGAATAATTAATGTTTATTTTTAAGTGATTGGTTTTACAACTTAACTTTTATTTGTATGGTTTAGGGTTGAAAATGTCCTTGGTCATCAGCCTCAAGAGCTTTTAGGTAAAAAGTATTTAAGCTTTGTCCATCGAGAAGATCAAACACACGTTAAAGAGATATTTGAACAAGGTAGGTAAATATCTATTAATTTCTTTTTTTAAAGAAGTACAAATGTTTTTGCTGAATTTTAAATCTATATATATTTTGAAGCATTTTAATTTAGAGATTATTATTTTCTAAAAATCCTAAACATTTAATGCAGTGCACTGTGGGCCAGACGACCATGATCTTTGGCCAGAAGTCAAAAATTAAATTTTCAACTAAAATATGTGTAGACAGTTTTAATATAGCCCAAATTAAGTATTCATAACCATTCCAAACATTATAATTTACTTTTTGGACCAACAAGAATGTAATGTAATGAAAAATATGTTTAAAAAAATTTCTTTTTAAATGTAACTTTTACATTTTTATTTCAAAAATATATATAGAAATTTCACCTTACTGTTGCATTTTTATCCGAGTAATTAGTCTGAAATTATAGTACAATTTGTTGGATTAGTTAATACTCTTCACAAACTTATAGTTTATATCTTATCATCTGACATTTTACAATGTTTGAATGACTTTCGATACTTCAAAAAGTTCCACGAGATAATTAGCTAAACTTTTTGTTGTTGACTTCTCTAATGTTTCTTTTTTCGAAAAAACCTACACCATTATGCCCGTATTGTAAAGGTGGACTAAATATACCAAAAAACAAATATTATGTTTTTCTTTCATATTTTCGCGTTATTTTGTAATATTACTTCGGAAATATAATTTGCTTTTCATTTTTAATATAAAATTACGAAAATTATTATATTTTCATTGCTATATTTAATTATTTAAACGTACTATATTATTTTTTTTATTTTTGTTCGCCATATTTCACCCGC